AAGGCCAAGCATTTTTGCCAGTGGAGCTTTGTGTTTCAGAAAACACACAGAAAGAATCAAGACAAGTATCTTACACGGTAGGAGAACAGCACATAAAATTCAAACAGTAAGACAGCACTATGGAGAAACCCAAATTGTGGCTTTGCATCGCCCTTCTACAGGTCTGATTCAAATACCACAGGTATTTAATTAAAGCCTTTCCATTCTCTTCATCTAGCTGGAGCAGATACAGAGCACTTCAAAAAGTGGAGAGAGAATATTTCATTTTAGATTAAAAGAAATGTTTTATTGAGGAGTATTCCATAGGTCTAAACAGAGTTAATCCTCAACTGGCTTCACAATAATTTAAGCAAGTAATTTAAGACAAAGACAAAAGAGTGCTGTTCTTGGAAGGAATAAAAAAAAAAAAATTCAATGTAAAATATAATTGGAAGACAATTTGAGCACTTGAAGAGTCTTCGGCACTCTGAAGAGTTGTTTCTTCCTTTCAACTTGTTGATACCATTATGGAATATACAACTTGGGAAAAAAAAAAAATTAGATTAACTATCTGTACTTGGTGAAAATGCTTTCCAATATCTAGTTCTCCAAAACATGGGTATTGAGTGGTAAAATGCTGACAGTATGGTGTTTTGTGTCAAACCCATGATAATTAGTCCTAAATTTCAAAAGTAGCCAAAATGAATTAATGACCTACTGAAAGAATTTGACAAAGACGAGTACACCATGTGTTATTAAAAAAGGAGACTAAGCTATCCCAGTCCAGTCTGGAATGGTTTGGGCAGTTTCTGTTCTAGTCCTAATCCATGTCTGAGAGGCATAAGCAATGACAGAAATCAAAATAAAACTAACAGGATGTCTATTAGAAGAGATAGCTGGTTAGCAACAGGGATATCAGAGAAGACTCACGATAGATTACATAATTACTACTACTAGAAAACACAGAGATAAGACATTTAGGAAAGCCAGAAATGTGTACAGCACGTAGAGCAAGATTTGTAATTTTTTTCACATCAGTACTAAAAAGTTATAAAGCATCCAGGGGACCAGTCCCTGTCAGATTCATCCACAGCCTATACATTTTTTCTCAATAGCATCAAGTGTCAGAAATTCAAAATTAACAACACAAATCAATAGTGTTAAATCACCACGCACATGTAGAGAGGCAAATTCTTACCATATAATTATGGACTAAACCCCTTAGATTCCTTAAAATATACCAGCACTATCCTATTCAACTGAATACCTTAGTCTTATTATTCCAACCTATACAAATTCAAAAAACCGCTTTTTCTTCATACATGAATGGACAAACACAATTTCTAAGTTTTTTTTAAATGTTCTCTTTTACTGAAAAGCTTACAAAATGCAGTTACACATTTCATGGCTCAAAACTTTTAACAGCGAGAAGAGAGAAATTTTGTGTTAAAGAACATGTGCTACTAACTTCTAGGGATATGCTGCTGATCACTAAATGCAATGGGGTACTTTTCCTCCAAAAAAGGTAAGACTGAAAACCTGACTTAAAACTGACAAAATAGAAGTTTTCCAATGAGCATCAGTATGCTTTGGATCAGCCCCACCACCTTCCAGGAAATGGAAATGTCCAACACCTTTGAAAGCTAACCTATAAAGTCAATAATTTATGAAACAGATCATTCTTTCATCTGGACTGTGAGAATAATTCTGTTGAATTCCCCACTTCGCTAGCCAAACACTTCCAAGCCCTTCTATGATTTCATAAGCATTTTATAGAATTTTTGGTTTCGGTTATGTCCTTTCCTATTTTTATAGTTTTCTTTCATTAATGTCACTCTCACATTTTAAAGCTTTGCCTCTACCTAGGAGACAGAAACAAACACACTAGATGGAAGAAGACTGAAAAATAGTAGGGTCGTGGGAAGCAGCCAAAAGTAAAGAGGATCATTCACAGCTGAGTGAAAAATATAATACACACAGAGCACAGTTTCTGTGAGACATGACAAATAACGGTGGGTGACATAACCTAAGCACACTCTTACATGAAGGCAGCGATTGTTGTCTTATTGCTAGGTGTGCAGAGAACTGCCATAATTAAAGCGTCATTAATTTTCATTACATGTAAAAAAATATAACTGAACATAACAGTATGGGCACTGCTCTAGAATATGTTGGACAAATACAGTAACCTTCTCATGGGTCTGATGGCATCCAGCCTGTCCCTGGAAATTTACATTGAAATCTTTCATCCCATCATGTATTATTTCAGTGCAACTGCTGAGGATTCAGTATGAATTTTCATAGAGATTAATAAGAATGAAAAATCATCCTTACCAAGTATCCATAACAACCTGCTGCATCCTTTGATCCACTTACCAGTCCACTTTTTTTTCCATGGACCCTTATTTATGCCAACTACATGGCCATGAAAACTGGGGACAAAATAATTTTGCCAATATCACATGGAAGCAAAGGAAATTAAAAAGACTGAAATTAATTCCTCTGTTCATGTAGAGTTAATTTTTAAATAATGAAATCCACATATGTAAGAGCATATAAATCTGTGTTGGCAGAATATTCCTCAGCCAGGGCACTCTGACTAAATAATTTATCTTGATTGTAAGAACAAATCAATGAAAAAGGAAAAAAAGAAAAAAAATCTCAGTCTATCCTACAGGACCACTGATACCTCGAATCCAAACAGGGTGGACACCTACTCAGCACTCCAAAATGATTCTCCCATGGAAAATCCAATCTGTACTGCAGCCAGTAATGAAGAAAACCCTCAAAAAGCTGAGATGGGAGTCACCTACCCTGCTGTCCCACCTGGCTATCTGCTGTCTGTTCCCCTCTTCTGCCTGTAAGCTCCAAGCAAGATCTGTTCTCACTCCCTTGGATTTCCTTCCTACAGCTCTCTATGGTACCCTTGCTTTTCTCCCCCATAAATACACTCCAGATTCTCAGTTTGTCCAACAGACTCATAACAGCTCCTCCAAGTTTAGATTAAGTTTCGGGATTCACGCAGAGCAAGAGACCAATGCCTGCAGACAGCTGAGATGTACCGAAACAACATGACAAGTATCAATTTTGTCAACTTGGTGATTAGGCAGAAGCCTGAGACCAGAATGAAATCTGAGTTCATGTCTCGATCTGCCACCATTCCACTTCTGAAACTTCTTTCCCTGCTTAAGAAGCCCAAAATTAAAACCCACATACACCACAGCCGCAGCTTGCTAGCAAGTACAGATTTTGGCTATAGGCAGGTGTAGGAACCTATCCACTGATTTCCTTAAACAGTATTTCAGCAATGAGCTTCAACTCAAACACAAAAAATTACACAGTAGTGGGACATTTCCCTTCTTTCTTCAGGGAAAAAAAAATGGTATAGTGCATTGACTAAAGGAGATAGAGAATGTGAATGTTTTGAGTTCCAATTTTTATTTCTTAGTCTTTAAAAATATCAGTACTTTTTTCTCAGTCAAAAACAACATCTAGGAAGCAGTTTTCAAGGCATATAATAAAAGAGAAAATCTATATCAACTTTCCCTAGATTATTTTGGTTTGAATGTTATTATGTTATTTTGTGTTTAATTGTGCGGGAATGCATGCTTTGGTGTAAAACATCCTCTGCGGCAAGTGAGATGCAACCATCTGTCAAACAGGAAGTATTTTGAATTCAACAAAAACTTCTCAAATACGGAAAAAAACAATCACTACATAGGTACTAGTACTTAATACGACGTAATTCTGATCCTTCCTTTGCCTTGAATTTTATCTCTTTTCTAGAGTCTGTGGGCTATCCAATGCTTTCAGATCTGAAGGGCTGTCTGAGCTAGCATATTTGAGTCACCACAGCAATTTGATTATTTCTAGGCTGCATTTGGCTTAAGTGCAATTTACATCAACTGAAAACAGACCAGATGAAAAGATGTAATAGCCCTCAGAAGCTTCAGCTAATAAGGAAAAGGTACATTGTTATAATGAACCTTTTTCCAACTGCACCCTATAATTGCTGCATATACTGAAGAGTTAAAAAGGAATAGCACTCTTATAATAGACTACCAGATCAAATAAAAATCATTGTAAAGCAATGTCTTCGTTAAATGATCTAAGTTCTCTACAAGGTGAGGGTCTTTGATGGACATGGTAGTTTTTTTATGAAGAACTGTACATTGAAATACTCTGAATACCTAACCAAGTCTGAAACCTCAGATGTTACATGCGTTTGAGAGGTACTTCCTGCTTAAGTGCTCTGGTTTTCTGCCTTAAATAAAACTCTAATGACACACGGGAAGATTACAGCAATTTCCCCTTCCCCATTTAAAATCACTTGACTTCATTAATAAAGATCATGCCAACCGCATATGAGACAGCTAAGCTAGAAGGTAACAGTTAACACTACATAAGAATGCCATCCACTTTCAAAACCTGCATTAGCTCACACCACGACACCTCACTTTCAGCTCTACTAGGTTTTCAAGAAGTGAATAACAGTGATATTCAACCGAGTACTAGAACAGGCTTTGAAATCTCTGACTGACAACTGTCTGCAAAATGAAGGAATGGGTTGGAATTTTCTCTTTAGCAGGATTGCAATAGTTAGGTTCTTAACAAAAACAGAGGGTACAAGACATTTTCTTTTTTTTTTTCAGAGCAGTTGCTTCAATTCAGTACTCCTGGTTTTGCTTGTAAATGGAGATAAGTAAAACAATTAATGTTAATCTGAAATTTACTTTTTACATTTACAGAAAGATGTGCAAATCTGTTTCAAAACAAGAATCTGCTTCATAGCTAATTAGCTTGCTCTGCTTTAGTGCTTGAAGGATTTTCCATGTTGGAAACAAGAACTTAAGAACCAGGTTTTCCTGTGTTCCCTTTATCTTTTTCTTTTTTCCAACTTCCAAACCTCAGAATGAGAGTGCTCTCAAAGAAGAAATCTTTGGAGATTTAGCGACAATTGCTGATCTGCTTTGCATGTAGTTTACTCTGAAAAATAACTAAAAGGAACTTGCAGGTGAATGAGGCAGCATAGTTCCAGACTTAGGCTTGTCACTGAATTCTTTTGAAGCAGATACGACTTCTGATGCTTTAGCTAATTCTGACACCAAAGGAGCACGCCTCATCTACAATTCAAAGACTAATTTGCAAGCATTCTTAATGCAGTACCTAACTAGAGAACGTGATATACCACATCTCAAAAATACTATTTTGATATTCCTTTTCCTTCTCAAGGTCTCTATTTCGAACACAGGTACATTAAACGGAGAAAATAATTCATTCTGTCACATTCATTCTGTCTTTGGAATGCTTGTAAAGAGAATTACATCTTCACATGTTTAATAGGCTATCTTGCCTGATTCCTCTTTCACAACTTTAAAGGCAAAATTAACTGTTGTCTACTTATCCTTATGTTATTTTGATTTGGAAAAGGATAAATGCAAACCAAAATGAGAACATTAAAAACAATTTAAATTAATTCTTTATGTAATAGTGATACTCCCTGCTTAAGTATCTGGGAACTAAAGGTAAAGATGCTTGATTGACTGGCAGATGCAACATTTGATGACATCTCTGACTGGTAGATACTGAAACTACATAGTACATGAAACATATGGAATTAAACAGAATAAAGCCAGAGAAAATTGGCAGTGAATGGCCAAATTTAATAGAAATGTGAACTGAACTGCATTAGAAGACTAAAGCATATCAACAGGGAAATATCTACAAACATAGGAAACAAACTAGAGAGTAAAATGAAAACCAATCTATTTTTTTAGCCTCAAAATGGAGGAAAATGAGACACATTATGGCTGACAATTTTCTGAACAATGTCTTCCTGCATTAGTAGAATTACCTATCCTTGACATCACAGGGTTAAAAGGAAAATACAATATTCTTTCAAAGCCCAGAGAATATTTTCTAAAGATTTTATTATTCTCATTGTGTTGTATGCCCTATTTTGTCAATTTACTTATCACCACATGCAGTTTTCTCCAGGGGAAACAGTAGCTAGAGAAAAACAAGCACTGAGTAAACAAACGCTTTTAATGATAAACACTAGAAACAAAACCTAAACCTTCTGCATTTTTAAGGCTGGTCAATAATCCTATACTTTGGGAACAATGGCACTGAAAGTGAGGGGTGGTTTATCATACCAGCTATTTAAAGCAGATTATGTATATGCATCAGGGGTATTTGAATGTTGTAGGTACTATTTCATCCCAAACTTTTTCACAAATACGTTCCTATCCCTTTTTTCCAATAACTTCTAAACATCTAAACTAATGCATGCTGGCACCAAATCAGACAGAACTGGGCTTTTCCCTGCGACCATCAAATATTCTGGCACTGTTTATAATAAGCTAATTGACTAAAATGCTACTAAGTGACTATTATACAAAGATTAAAGACATGTACTAAGCTGGTCCTCAAGAAAACA